AAAAAGTCCAAAGCCTGAAGTACAATTGCACCTTTCAAAAGGTTTTAGAGTTCAATCTGAAGCTCCGACGCATGCTCTGGAGGAGTACTTGGCCGCAGGCGTCGGTGAGGAGAAGCCAGGTAGGGCTCGAGGGCTCTGTGTTTAGGGGCTTGGAAAGGTTTGGGAATCGCAAGGGATCAGGGTGTCCGGTTCGCTTCTGAGTCCACTGAGGGCTTTGGATTCAGGGTCATTTTGGAATTGGGCTCAGTGCCTTAGTAGGGATAGAGGCACCCCCGGACTCCGGGGGTGGCACGTTGTTTGTGGTCTCTAGTCTCTGGCATTGGGGTTGGGGATCGGGCCACAGACGTGGGTACGGATTCACGACTTTCGGGGGGGGGGGGGGGGGGGGGGCTTCATCTGCGTTGCGCGAAGATACCCTTATATAGTTCGAAGAGCGAGAAGACCACAGATCTCAACAAAGGAACCTAAATCTAAATCCTGAGTTAGTGTAACATCCCCTGATACTCCCCATCTTATGTTAGACTCCTGTCAGACTCCTTAGTTAGTCATATAATATATATATATATATATATATATATACACATACATATATATATATACATATGTATACTATGAGATACCCCAAACCGTGTTTCTAATTCCTGGCCACCTCGTAGCTGAGGATCGAGTTCGTGGCATTTAGAGTGCGAAACCCCCGCCCCTTGACACGTTGGACTCTCTGTGCTTCCATAAGGCAAACCCTCAACCCACCCTAAGGCCCCACAGTAGCTTCTTTATGGGATTACCTTATAGGATTCTAAATATGTCCACAAAAGGGAACTACTTTGAGGCCTTAGGGTAAACCGAAGCCCGAAGCCCAGACCAAACCGCAAACAAAACACTGCGAACCTCAACCCCGGAGGTGGCAGATCTCCCCAAAGGCCACCAAACCTAAGCCAACTAAGCTTAGGGGTACTTAGAAATATTTTTAATTTTTGGGTATTATAATCTCAAGAAACAGCTAAAATTCAAATTTTTACTAGGGTTCTAAGTTCAGTATAGTAAGTTGTGACTGGTTACTTCGAAACCAAACCACCAACAATCACTAGGCTTGCATGCAAGCACTGCGATATCAGATAAATCAATGCCTCGGAGCAAGTGTTTAACAGTCTGGGGATAAAGTCGTGCACAATACTTGTAAGCGAAAACCTCAAAGCTTGTTGTAAAGCCATGAAAACCTGGAGTTTATCTCTGTTCTGTTTTCTTTAGTCGTTAAAAACCTCACTGCTGCGATAGTCTAGAACCTCATGGAACCCTTATCGGAACCCGTTAGAGGAACCCTATTCTCACTATTAAGGCCCCTAAATCAGGCGTCTTTGCCGCTGCCTTTGCCTCCTTCCTGGGTCGGGGTCGGCAGAACTGTCAAGCGGCTTTAGCTACCTGAATGCATTCTATGGAACCCGGGGAAGGGGGGCAGAGTTAGGTTTCGGGTTCTGCGGAAGGGCCGCAGTTCAAAGGCGAGAGGGAGTGTAGTACCGAGGGGGGGGATCCGAGTTCGGGGTCAAAGGGGTGGTGGGGATGGGTGCGGTGCTGGTTCTTGTTGTCGCGCTTTTCTGCTTGTCAGGTGTTGTGCCCTCGTCAGTTCTGTGATGCAACAGTTGCTGTGTGCAGATGATGGTCGCTGGCTGCGAAAGGGTTACGGCGACCATGAAGCTACATATCACGATGATGATGATGATGATGATGATGGCAGTGGTGGTTATGATGCTGCTGCTGCTGATGATCATGGCGGTGGTGGTGATGCTGAGGATGTTGACGGTGGTAGTGATGTGGTGATGGTGTGGGGCTGTCGAAATCGACACCTAAGGAGGCCAAATGTAATACTACGAGCTTTTGCATCAGGAAATTGAGCTAGCCCTTCGAAACTATGTAGGTTGTTGTAGTTGCAGCTAGATGTGGATGGCTCCCTGCTTAACTCACATCATGGAACCAACGGATGCGAACACAAACCTGAGGATGCCGATCCCATCTCCTGGATCCTAGAACCTCTAAAGCCTAAGCCTAAGCCTCCTTAAGGGTGTTCGGGTTTCAGGTCTTAGGGTTTAGGGGTTTCAGTGGTTAGGACTTCCGGGTCTTAGGGTTTGGTTTAGGGCTACGGGATACCTGATGAGCGAAAGCCCCCAATTGCCAAAGCCAAGGCCCAAGAATCGAGGAACCCAAGTCCTCGAAACCTGCGGCCTACGCCGGACAAACATCAAAAAAATATGAGGGGGGAAGCGGGAGAGCGGACCCCGCTGACAGTTTTCAGATAATCCCTTATAGTCCTTGTATCCTACCTCAACCTTAAACCTCAAACCCCATTTTAAAGCAGTGTTGTTGACTGGCCTGAGGAGATCACGCTGAGCCTCGCGCAGCAGCCGATCCTTGTCTGATCTGAATGTATCGTCAGGATCAGGAAGATAAAGTATGGGCCCTATACTATACTCTAAGAGTAAGAATCCTTCATATGCTGTAAGAATCGTTTAACCCTCTTGCTGTTAATTTCGTTTTCAAGGTTAGACAGTTCAGAGATGAGCAGCGTCAAGCGAGTATAGCTAAACATCTTTCCTGCCACTCGGCACGGAACTCTGTCTTGATTGCAAGTGTCCCTGAAAGTTTCGCGCCCGGCACATGCCGGATCCAATCCAATGTTGTTTCTGCGCATGCAAGCCGTGTGCACCAGAGCTTCATTTCTACAACTGCATTCCTGTCCTTCATGAACATGCAAAGGGGAGTAACCTAGATGCGGACATGGCTGTGACCCTTGCCACCATTTAGTTGAAGTTGGCTGGGGTCCGCATGCCTGTTGCTAGCTTCTTATATGGTTTTCTTGTAGAAGCCTTCACGGTAATATATGAGCCTGAAGAATTACCAGTACTATCTTGGGGGGTTCCTTATTATAGTTACAGTATATCGGGCCCCAGACCCTGTTCTAATATTCAGGCCCCTATACCTTAGATAGCCAATGCGGGGACTTTAAACTTTTTGGCCTTATATATTTGGTCTATCTTAGTTTGTTTAATCTTTGTTGGGCCCGGTTGTCGAAGGAGAGAGATAATAGGACCTGTTTTCAGGGTGCCCTTCGACAGTGCCATGCAAGACAGGACCTCCCCGCACGCTACCAAAGAGATGAAACTCACGAGCTTGCGGCTTAGGGTTTAGGGTTTACGGCCCGCTTCCCCTGTACAGCAGCCGGAGCTTTATGTCAGTTTCTTATATATAAGCTTGCTTTCTCAGTGTTTCATGCAGTTTCCGGGTTTCATCTTATGATGTGGTTTCATAAATCCTGCGAGATGATTTTTTGGAATCCATCTAAACCTTTAAATCTCAATTCAAAAAACACATGAAACCCCGACAGCTTTGGAACATTTTCCGGGGAAGCTTAGACTATTGGCCCTATTTTTAGCCCTGATCCCGAACTTTAAAGGGAACTCCAGAAAGTTGGAATATCGTTTCATAGTAGGATACCTTATAATTTACCGTAAAGGGCTTAGGATAATCATATTCCAACTTTCTGGCTTTTGCTTTAAACCCTAAAGCCAGCCCCTGGCCTGATACCGAAGCACTCCGAAAACCTGGACCGCATCATTGCTTCAAGATCCACCACAGCCCGAAGCACCAAGTCTGGTGAAGGAGCTGCAAACAGAGCCCCCAAAGTTTGGGGTTTAGGATGAAGGGTTGATAACATGAGCCCTCAGATTTAGGCCTCTTGCCTCAAGCTCTCGAAAAAGCAAGGGGACGTCAACTAGACCTCAGAATAGTCGGATCTGTTGTATGAGGGCCCCTGCGCTTAATATGGGTAACCCGAAGCTAATCCCTAAACCATTTTCAGAACCATAAACTCTCATAAATCCTAAAGCTTTCTCAGGACCTACACCCTCATAAACCTTGAACCAAATCCAAAGCCCTACGCCCTTATAAACCCTGAGCCATTGTCAGAACCCTATACCCTTAACCTCAAACCGGGAACCCCAAGAGCAACTTATGGGTGGTTGTCAAAATGATGGTCCCTTTTGGGGGTCCTTAAATAATAGGTGCCGTATTATAACAAGGACCCAAAAAGGGGGACCCTAATTTTGACAACTACCCATATGTAACTCTAAACCCTAAACCCTTTATAGAACCCTTAGAGATCCCTTTAAGGCACCCTTATAGATCCCTTTAAGGGTTCTGAGGATCCAGACGGAGAAGCTGGCACAGCAGCTGGCGCAGCCCTTGCCCGAAGGGCAGAGGCCCACCCGGGGTGGCCCTTTTTCTCTAGAGGTTTGGTTGGATTGATGGATAAGATTTGGAGTTTGGAGTTGAGTTTAGATTCTGGGTCACACAAGGGAAGTAAGGGATATGTAAGGCGATCCAGAAGACCTTGATTTCGACATAGATTGTAGCATTTTAGGGTTTCTTTTTGTAAGAGCACGAGGACAGGCGAAAACCTGGGCATCAGACGTCCTACTAGGTTGGCTTCACGAGTTCGGAGGTCTGCACATGTTTTTGTTTATATAACAAATCAGTCGAGAACAGGTCAATGGGATGATCAGGTTGTGGTTGAGGGCGATGCAGTGCAGATCCGACTTCGCTGCATGTTGCGCCAGCCTGGAGTGCAAAAGAGAGACGCGCGACGCAATATCACATGTTACCGTACGGAAATGAGCAACGATCAATATTCAGTTTTTTGATCCGACCCAGAGTCCAGAATCAAAGTGATAACGCAGTGAGTAGAGCGTGATAGCACGGATCATGAAAGCGGGTGCCTTCGTGGCTTTGCTGCGGGCTGTCGACGGCAGTGAAGATCCGGGGGAGCTGGAGGTCTTGCTGCAGTGCCGCCTGGGTTTGGAGTACCATACTTGAATATTTTTGTGGTACCTGTTCCTTGAAGGAACCATTATAAAATTAAAGTCTACACTTTTTCTCCTTGTTTACTTCAATGTCCAGGCCGGGCTAGACATTTGCAGTACAAAGGCAAGTGGGGCCTGCCTGGCGGGCAGATGGACTGGGACGAGGTTTCTGTCCATTATGACCGCGAGATGGATCCGTTGATTCGCGACCGTATCCTGCGCAGAGCTGCTGTCCGGGAGCTGCTGGAGGAGGCTGGAGGAGGAGATTGCAGCGACCCCAAGATGACGATTTACTTCGAGCCTTTGCGATTAAAGCTCTCGAATAGGGAGGTGGTGCGGTTCCAAAGCGAGGTGTGGTCCTGCCACATGCCCGCTGGCCTTGCCTTCTTTGAGGTCGATGCTGAAAGGTCTCGAAAAATGAAGGTCGGACGCTTCGAGACGTACGTGTTCCTTTATGTGATTTGCCCCTTGCGGGACGGCAAGGAGTTTGCTGCAGGAGGATCATGGTTGCCGCAGGAGTGGGAGGGCTGCTATGAAGTGGAAACCAAGTCGGGCAGAGGCGTTCATGGCTACAGGTGGCAGCGTCTTAGCCAAATTCAGGTCGCTACCGCGGCAGATGAGAACTTGGTCGACTGGCTGCAGAGCTTCATCTGCGATCGCCGTTCGGAGCTCCTTTCGGCAGCGCGGGATCTGCAAGGACTGCCGCAGACCGGGCCAGCTGCCTGCTGCACTTGGAAGACCCCATCTGCGCGATGCTTCTTCCTGCTGCTGGCAGCAGCAGCCGAAAGTGAAGCCTGGATCCAGCAGCGCGACCAGCAGGGCTGCCTGCTGTCCGATTCGCAAGTGGAGCAGGTTGGAGAGGAGGGGCGCAGGATATCCGAACGGTCGAAGCTGGTACAGCGACTTTTTGCACACCTGCAGGCACCCGCTCCCGCTGCTGGGTTGTTGTTAAGGGACTTACTATGGATCTATAGTAAAGTGGTTTCCTGATTATAGTAAATTGGCTGAATACGGCACCTAACATTTAGGGTACCCAAAAAGGGACTATAATTTTGACAACCACCCAATTAAATCCCTTATAACAACCCATAGGGCCCAAAGTAGTTCTTTTTTGGGATTTCCTTAAAGCTTTAAAGGATCCTACATATGAACCCCAAAAAGGAACTACTTTGGGGCCTTAGGGAAGAGCCCAGGTCGAGTTTCCTGGAAAATGCTAGGGATCCTGGAGCTTCAAACCCTTTATAGAACCCTTATAACAAGAGCCCAGGTTAAATTTAACTTATAGTGTCTCAAACTTGAATTATAGTACCTTACAACAAGAGCCCAGGTCGAGTTTCCTGGAAAATGCTGGGGATCCTCGAGCCCCAAGGAGTTGCTGCTGCTCTGCGCGGATGCTTCGCAGAGCGAGGATTGGCAAAGGCGCCTTTGGTTCTCTAAGGATGTTTTTTGTCGGTGTTAATGTAAGTGTAAAGGAGTTTTTACCATACTATTTCTATTTTATCATACTGATTGTAATGTTAAAATTCTTTCAGGCGTTTTAACAATACCATTTTTATTTCAGTTTTTCGAGATCATACGAAATCTTCAAGGGACTATTAACAAAGAAGTATTGTTATTTTGGTTTTATAGGTACAAGGATAGCTGCTATGGAGCCTATGGGTATAGTAACCTCTTTGAAAGAACCTTATTGCAAAGAATAAGGGGCCCATACTGTAGAACCCGTTCAGTAGCCCCCTTATAGTAAACCCTGCTCAGTAGCCTTGGGGACGAAAGGACCCTTATAGGTGCCCCAGAGCCAAGAAGTATTGTTACCATGGTTCTAGGTACAAGGACGACTACCACTTCGACCTTTTGGAGTGGGAGAGCTGGGCCTCGGGTTTGCCGGGGACGACGGTGGCGTGGATGCAGGAGACTTGGGGACGTAGTAGTCCTTATAGTAACCCCTTTATTTTAACGGGGACATAGTAGTCCTTATACTATCCTTATAGTAGTCCCCTTTAAAGGAGCGCTATGAACAATACTAAAGCACCAATACTATAAGACAAATCCTTATAGTAGCCCTTTTTTTGAACCCTCGAGCTTAGTAGCCCTTACAGTAAACCCCTCTAAACGAGCCCCCAATACTGTAGAACCCCTTGAAGAGACCTTATAGTTACCCTACCCAGTTGCCTTGGGGAGCAAATGACCCTTATAGTAGTCCTTACCCATCGGCTCCATGATAGCTCCTTTGTGGCTTATATTTAGGGTCGTACATAAGGTAGCCCCAAAAAACAACTGCTATGGAGCCTATGGGTATAGTAACGCCTCATTGAAAAGAATAAGGCGCCCATACTGTAGAACCCGTTTAGTAGCCCTTGTAGTAACCCTACTCAGTAGATTTGGGGACGAAATAACCCTTAAAGGTGCCCCATACCCTTACGCTATGAATCCCCTAATATGCGGACATGCATCTTACAAGTAGGGGCCCTTTGCCTTTATACTAATGCACAAATTCCTATATGGTATATGACCCTTATAAGAAGGGGCCATATACCCTTATAATTCGTGTATGCACCCTAAACCCTTGAAGGAGCGGGGCGATCTCCTACGACGGCTCTGTGCGGGATGCGACAAGCACGAAAAAGAGCATGCTGCAAATGCTGTACTATAGGGGCCTTAATGATTACCTATACTATTTTGGGGGTTCGTTATTATTATGAAAAGTATAGTATAATGGGCCCCAAAGCCCTATTCTAATTATTAAGGCCCCTATATTACCAGACATAAAACACTAGAAGCTGAACCCGAAGAAAGGACCCGAAACCCTAGACCCTCTAGATCCCAAACTACCCCCATCTGGCCAGGGTCGATGCACCACCGGCGCCTTCCTCCCCCAGTGTCGCAGGCACTTGCAAGGGAGAGGGTGTCTGAGATATGTATTCATATGTATGTATGTATGTATGTATGTATGTGTATATATATATACATATATATATATATATATATGGAGCCAAAACATCTAAGGGCTCCTTCACAGAAACTGTAGTATCAGACCAGTCCCGAACGCTTGATTAATTGCCTAGGGCTCTTTGTCAGTCGTTGAGGCGTTGGGGGTTTGTCTTCGCCAAAAGCCGAAGGAAAAGACCCTCAACTCGATGCACCCTCAGCCCGACACCCGCGTGTTCTGCTAAAGCGTGCATAGGTGAATGAAAAGGTCAGCTAAAAAGATATGGGTAGTTGGCAAAATTATGGTCCCTTTTTGGGGTACCCTAAATATTAGGTGCCGTATTATAATAAGGACCCAAAAAGTGACCCTAATTTCAACAACCACCCAAAGGAGTATAAAGCACAGGCTACTTCCTAACTCTGAAGCCTGAGCCGACGAGTGGGGACATCTGGGCTCCCCTCCAGGAGCTTCAGTTTGAGTTACCGTGATAGGGGCCTAAAGTAACGGATATGATCTCCTTAGTCACTGCAGCTTAAAATTGCTCCTTCACAAGAGGGCTCTTCTTAAGAAGCTTAAGTTTAAGTTACGGACCTAAGTAACGAATATGGCCTCCTTAATTATCGTAGCTTAAAAGGAGTTCCTTCACGACAGCCCAGTCATCGCAACTCCTTTCCCATAGCTTTGCAAAGTCGGTTCCAGATAAGGAGCACCTTAAGCCCGAGAGTTGAAAGCCTCAAGAAATCAGGCCTCAAGCCCCTAAAAGCCTGAATCCCACAAGAATTCAAAAGCCCTCATTTCTAAGGCAATCTCCCCCAACCCAGAATACTTCATGCCGGATCCCCGACAGCGGAGAGGTGCTGCAGCTACCCTCGAGGGCCAAGCAAGCCCCAAGGCTACTGCCGGGCTCGGAGTTTTTGGTTTCGGTGGTTTTTTAGGGTTTAGGGTGTAGGGTTTAGTTTTTAGGGTTTAGGGTTTAGGTTTTAAGGTTTAGGGTTTAGGGTTTAGTTTTTAGGGTTTAGGGTTTAGAGTTTAGGGGTTCAGGGGTCTAGAAGTTTAGGGTTTTCAGGGTTTTGGGCCTTCCTTGAGGTTCTAATGTAGGGGCCTGGTGCATTGCAACAGAGTTCTCCGGTGTATTTTTTTACCACGGATATAGTATTGCAGGGACCCTCAGGAGAAAGTATGGGGAACTGTGTGCTGCTAGTAGCCAATCCTCTCAAACCCCCCAAAATCCCTTTAAACCCTTAAACCTCTAAACCCCTGAAGCCCTAAAACCCCTAAACCCTAAACCTTAGCCCCCTAAACCCTAAGCCCTAAACCCCCTAAACCTTAGCCCCCTAAACCTTAGCCCCCTAAACCGTCAACCCCCTAAACCCTAAACCCTAAACCCTTAAACCCCCCGTCAACCCTAGACCCCCTAAACACCCTAAGCGCTAATCGAAGTTGCTGCCATGCACTCGGCCGCCCGACCCGATCGAACTCGATGAAAGCCCTATGCAAACCTACTTAGAGGATCATGGGACTTAGTAAGTAAGGCTCCTTAAAGGGATCTATAGGGTTCCTTAAAGGGGTCTATAGGGTTTAGGGAGTACTTAGAGGATCATGGGACTTAGTAAGTATGGTTATAAGTAGGTTATAATTAGGATAACCCCACTTAGGGGACTTATAACCCTAGTTATAACGTACTACCTGTATGGCAAACCCTGCAAAAGGAACCCTCAAAATCGGTGGTTGTCAAAATTAGGGTCCCCTTTTTGGGGGCCCTTATTACATGTATACGGCACCGGGCACCTAGTATTCAGGGTACCCGGAACGGGACCATAATTTTGACAACCACCCAAATGCAGCCTAAATGCAACTCGTAATTAGTTAGACCCTATACCTATAGAAACTTGCTACATCACCATCCCTAAAGCTTAAAGCCTAGAAACCTACTGCATCATGATACCCTAAATCCCATACCTCGAAACCTACTACATTAGAAACCCTAAATCCGAAAACCACGGTCCACATCATAAACCCTAGATCCTAAACCCTAAGCCCTAAACCCTAGCGCCTAAACCCTAGAAACCTACTACAACAACCCTAGATCCTGAACCCTAAGCCCTAAACCCCAGAAACCTACTACATCAACCCTAGATCCTGAACCCTAAGCCCTAAGCCCTAGCGCCTAAACCCAAGAAACCTACTACATCAACCCTAGATCCTGAACCCTAAGCCCTACACCCTAGCGCCTAAACCCAAGAAACCTACTACATCAACCCCAGATCCTGAACCCTAAGCCCTACACCCTAGCGCCTAAACCCAAGAAACCTACTGCATCAACCCTAGATCCTGAACTAAGCCCTAAAACCTAGCGCCTAAACCCAAGAAACCTACTGCATCAGCCCTAGATCCTGAACCCTAAGCCCTAAACCCTAACGCCTAAACCCTGAAACCTACTACAACAACCCTAGATCCTAAACCCTAAGCCCTAAACCCTAACGCCTAAACCCTGAAACCTACTACAACAACCCTAGATCCTGAACCCTAAGCCCTAAACCCTAACGCCTACACCCAAGAAGCCTACTACATCAACCCTAGATCCTGAACCCTAAGCCCTAAACCCAAGAAACCTACTACAACAACCCTAGATCCTGAACCCTGAGCCCTAAACCCTAACGCCTAAACCTTGAAACCTACTACAACAACCCTAGATCCTGAACCCTAAGCCCTATACCCTAACGCCTAAACCCAAGAAACCTACTACAACAACCCTAGATCCTGAACCCTATAAGCCCTAAACCCTAACGCCTAAACCCTGAAACCTACTACAACAACCCTAGATCCTGAATCCTAAGCCCTAAACCCTAACGCCTAAACCCAAGAAGCCTACTACAACAACCCTAGATCCTGAACCCTAAGCCCTAAACCCTAACGCCTAAACCCTGAAACCTACTACAACAACCCTAGATCCTGAACCCTAAGCCCTAAACCCTAACGCCTAAACCCAAGAAGCCTACTACAACAACCCTAGATCCTGAACCCTAAGCCCTAAACCCTAACGCCTAAAGCCTGAAATCTACTGCAGCAACCCTAGATCCTAAACCCTAAGCCCTAAACCCTAACGCCTAAACCCAAGAAACCTACTACAACAACCCTAGATCCTGAACCCTAAGCCCTAAACCCTAACGCCTAAAGCCTGAAATCTACTACAACAAACCTAGATCCTAAACCCGAAGCCCTAAACCCTAACGCCTAAACCCAAGAAACCTACTACATCATGATAAGCCGCCCCAGCAGGCCGAGAGTATGGTGGAGGAGATCTTGGGTCATCTTGCACCCGAGCATGCGCGAAAGCCGGAGCAGGCTAAGATTGGGGCTGAGGGTTTTTTTCGGGGGGGGGGGTTGGGTTTAGGGTGTTTACGGTTTGAGGTTTAGGGTGTTTGGGGTTTAGGGTGTTTGGGGTTTAGGGTGGTGTTTAGGGTTGAGGGTTTGCGCTGAGGGTTACTGCTCTGGTTGAAGGTGCAGGGGTTAAGGGTGCCGGGGTGTAGGGTTTAGGGGCGTTTTATCGTCAGAGTATTCAGGGGTTTAGGGCTTAGGGTTTAGGGGTTTAGGGGTTTAGAGGTTGGGAGTTTTGGGGTTTAGGGGTTTAGAGGTTGGGAGTTTTGGGGTTTAGGGGTTTAGGGGTTTAGGGCTTAGGGAAGCATGGGAGTGACTGTGCTTCTGTCACGAGAATGGGGTTTGCGGTGGGGGTTTAGTTTAGAGGCTCGAATCTGGCTTGAATTGTCAGTAGAGGCATCCCCTTACCCTCCAAATATGTATGAGACCGTATATCCTGAGGTCGTAAACCCTAAAGGCCCTAGGCCCTAAACTCCTTAAGCCCTAAACTCTACCAGCCCGGATCTATGTGAAGAAAGTCTTCCAGAAGCCACTGCAGGCTTGCCTCCTGCCCTCCACGCAGCTGCTATTTGGAACGCAGTGTGGACGGCTAGGGTTTTCGGCGTTGTGATTCAGGTCTCGGGGCTTGAGTGCAGGTAGGAAGCGTCTATGTAGTGCCATTGTGTATGTTTTCGGAGCTCCCTTGACGTGGTGAACACACAAGCAGCGAGAACGACACGAAATCACCATCGTTGTATTTCGCACGTTCGCTGGCGGTGCAGTGTTTGTACTACTTAGTAGCGGTAATGGTGCGTTAGCAAGACAGCAACAGCAGCAGCTAGCAGCAGCAGGAGACGGAGTTCCCGGAGAAGGAGCAGGAGTAGTAGGAGCAAGTAGCAGTAGCAGCAGTAGTAGTAGTAGTAGTAGTAGTAGCAGTACTATCACAAGTGGTGGTGGTCGTGGCAGTCGTAGTAGTAGTGGTAGTGTAGTGGTGGTGGTGGTGGTGGTGGTGGTGGTGGTGGTGGTGGTGGTGGTGGTGGTGGTGGTGTGGTGGTGGTGGGGTGTGGTGGTGGTGGTGGTAGTGGCAGTGGTGGTGGTGGTGGTGGTGGTGGGGTGGTGGTGGTGTGGTGGTGGTGGTGGTGGTGGTGGTGGTGGTGGTGGTGGTGGTGGTGGTGGTGTTAGCGGTCGTAGTTAATGTTCTTGCTGTTACTGCTGTTGTTGCAGTATTTCCAAGACTGATGTCAGGACTACTGGTGAGTGAAGCAAAGGAGATCAGGAAACACTGAATACTGCCCTCACTCAGCAACAGCACTGTAGGTATGTAAGGCTTTTGATCGTGGCCTTACTATAGACTGTTCCTGTACGGAGGCAGTCTGTATCCGGGAGATCAGCAAACACGCCGTGTAAACGACCATTATTGCGGTAGGTACCTAAAACCAGAGTCAGGATGGTTTTGGGACTTAGTTCCGATCCCTAAACGATAAAGCCTGAACCCCTAAACCCTGAGCGCTGACACAGTAAACCCTCTATCAGCCCTGAAACCAAAACCTTCTGGGTACATGACATCCCGATCGCAGCGGAGGTGGCAGCTCCCTTCGGGTCGGCGAGGAGCATCGCGCATGGCATTGTCACCGGCGTAGCGCGGCTTTCAATGAAGGTGTTTAGGGTCGCTAGGGTTCAGGGTTTAGGGTTAAGGACTTAAGGAGGAAATTTGGCTTAAGGTCCGTAAGGTTTAGGATGAAGGGTTCAGGGTGCATTGCTTTGGGATGGTTTGATAGGGTGATGTGGCGTTTCAGGAGTTGGACATTTGCCATGGATCTATCCTTGCTGCACTGTTCAGTGAGGCGCTTCGGGGGGGGAGCTTCTCGACGGTTTTCTGGGTCCCTGTAGGTTGGTTTTGGGTCAATGGTTTAGGGTTTGGTCTGCTCAAGAATTCTGATCGAAGATTTAGCGTTCAAAGTTGTGCTCTCGAGGGACATCACATCCGTGTGGGATTCTGAGAGTTTGGCAAACAGGGCCCCGAGCCACAAACCCTGTGCAGTCCACAGGGGGTGCTGCTCGAATAGCACTTCAACTAGGATGCCCAGTAGTACCATTATTCCCTTTTCGTAGTCCTAGGTTCCTCGTTAAAGGTACCCAATACCCAAAAGGGAGCCCTTTTTATCCCTAGGTTACTGGGCATCCTAGACTTCTTGGTTGAGGGCTCGGAAGGGTTGTAGTTTGTGGGTGCCTTGCAGGGTTGTCCCTACGAACTACGCCAGCTTTGCAACCGAAAGAAAGGACGGGTTCAGGATTCACGCCAAACCTATACGTGCGTATATGTATTAATATATATATATATATATGCATACATACATACATACATCCCCAAATCCTAAACATCAAGCCCTAAATCCTAACCCCTGCATAACCCCTGGCATACCCCGAACCGTGGCTGAGGGGATCGCTGCTGGCCGTTGCCTTGGTGCCAGACTCAGAGTCAGGAACTATGCTGGTGGTGCTGGTGGTGCTGGTGGTGCTGGTGCTGGTGGGGCCCTTGATATTAAAAGAAACCAATATTTTACAGGTTTAAGAAAAACAATATTGTTTTGGGGTTCCCTAAAATGATAATAGCACACCAAAACCTACTTTTTTGTAGGGTCCTTATAAGATCTATATTCGGGTTTAAAATAAGAACCTACAAAAAAAGGTTTGGCAGGTTAAGGGGATGAGGAAGGTGGCTTTACCCATAGGCTCCATAGTAGTTCCTCTTTGGCACTACCTTATAGGATCCTGTCCTAACTATCAACCACAAAAGGGAACTTGAATGGAGCCTTTGGGCAATACCTAAGCTTCTTAAGGGTTAGGGTTGGGACTATACGTTAAATGTAGAGGATCCTAAACATAAACCACATTGGACCCTATGGGTAGAGCATCCCAGGGGTGCTAATACTGACTTGATAGAGGGAGCCTGGGTTTGGCGCTCCCAAGGTCTGGGGTCCAAGGGGTTGTTATTTTGGATTTGGAGGTTTAGGGTTTAGGTGTTTATTGTTTAGGATCCAAGGGGCTGTGATTTTCGTGTAGGGTTGGTTCCGGTTGGGGTGGCATTCAGTCTCGGGGATTTTAGAACAGCCTGGCTGCGGTGTAGACAAGCAGCCCCTTCACAGCAATGGCTTAGAAGCTGCCCCCACCCTGTAATAGTGACTATAAGGATTATATTAGGGCCCTATTATATTCCCATTACTTAGAGGATCATGGGACTTAGTAAGTAGGTTATAATTGGGGTTATAAGTCCCCTAAGCGGGGTTATCCTAATTATATCCTACTTATAACCTTACTTACTAAGTCCCATGAGCCTTTAAGTATACCGCTAGTACAGGGTGGGGGCCCCTTCTAAGCAAGGGCATTTCCAATCGGACGAATTCCTGCGCAGCCATGCGCAAGTTCGGGAGCAACCTCGACACCCAAAGCGTCAAAGCCTAGAGCTGAGCCTTACTTACATACGTATATATGCATGTGAACTTTTAATTAAATATAAATATAGATATCAATATAGATATAAATATAAATAAATACATATATTTATAAGTGGGGTTGTATGTAGGTAGTTACGTATACATATATTGACTTATACATGCACACACACACACACATATATATATATATATATATATACACATGTATGTATACAGAGAGAGAGAGAGAGAGAGAGAGAGAGAGAGAGAGAGAGAGAGAGAGAAAGAGAGAGAGAGAGAGAGAGAGAGAGGGGAACCCTTACTGGGACCTGGAAACCGGCCCGTATGGAACCTTATGGAAGCCGCTTTCTCCGCTGCCTCAGTCCCGATCGAAGAATTCGTCGGAGCTCCGTATCTACGCCGTGGCCTCCGGGCGCCTTTATGCCAGGAGCCAAGGCTTTAGGGTCCGTAATTTCGGGTTAGGTCGTAGTTTCCAGGAGTTTTGGGTTTTGTTTCGGGGTTTAGGGTTTTGGGGTTTTCGTGCTTAGGGTTTAAGGGTTTAGGGTGTCGAGTTTTTGTTTAGGGTATAGGGATTCAGGATTGGCGTTTTGCGCCTTTGACTTAGGGCCTTTGGATGAGGGTTTGTCGTTTTGTGTTTAGGGTCTAGGTTTTGGCTTTTTGGTTTGGAACTTGTAGTTTGGGGCAGTTTGGGTCTAGGGCTTTGGGTTTACACTTCAGCTACCTTTCGGCTGTAGACATGACAAGGCCGATTCTCGAGTTTAGCATTTTCTTTTTGTCAATTTTCATGAAGTTCGGAATTTCAAGTTCTGGGTTTCGGGATTTTCCTAAACCCCAATCCCTATAAGCCGTGGCTACTGCCCATGCTACTTCCAGCTAGCTCTTATTCTAGCAAAAAGTTGCCCTGGCCTTTGAACGAGGCATATGAACCTCCTTGTCGTGGTGAACCCTGAAAGCCCAGAAGGATTAACTTAGGGTCTACATAATTACCTATACGATTGGGGTTCCTTGTTATACTTATAGTATACTGGGCCCCAAAACCCTATTCTACTACTATTGAGGCCCCTATATTATAGAACCCCATCATAGAGCCCTTAGAACCTTTTCAAAGGAACCTTATTCTGATTGTTCCCTAGATTTATGTTCTCTGTAGATGGAGACTGAGGCCACCTGCGCCGAAATGCACGAAGCCCTGGTCCACGACCTTTGCTGGCACAGCTTCGAAAAGCGCCGCCTGACGTCAGCTTGGTCCTTTCTGCGCGTTGTGCTGTCAACTGTTCATAAGCCCGTTTGTGCGGGGCTTTGGGGTTCTGAAGTTCTGAAATCTGAACCCCTTAAGCACATAACTGGCCCAGACTCTCATTTCTGCTGGCATGACATGGGAACAATGGGAACAGCTCTCCGAGTTTGCCATTCCAGACTCTAGCTGATAGAGGATGAAGAGAGCTCGAAGCTAATAGCTCCTGGCACTTAGCCCTGTCTCATCCCTGTTTCAGGTGTCCGAAGCCATAAAACTTGCAGCCCTTGCGTTAGTTTAGGCTTGAAATCTCTCGGAAACTGGTTAGATGGAACCCCCATGGCAAAGGCGGTTTGTGTGTTTGTTGTGTGTTGCTGTGGGAGTTCGCAGTGTCTGATTCCTTCCCTTCAGGCTTATTTTTGTTGATGAGGCTTGGGGTTTGCTTGAACCCCAAATACCTTATCTGGTTCAGGATTCGTATAGTTCCTTTGGGTACAGGCATGGCTTAAGGGTCTGGTACTCTGGTTTTCAGTAGGGTGCAGCTTGCAACTAAGGTCAAGAAGGTATTTCCGTGCCGCCCTTGCTGATCAGCATCTCCGGCGACTTTCAATTGCCTTCAGATTACCCAAAAGATGGTGTTACGGGCTTAGGGGTTTCGGACTTCGTGGGCTGTTGAAGCTCCCGTGTTGATCCCAAGCTTTCCGTGAACACTCGAGCCCTTACATAGTTTTCGGAATAATCAGTAATCGTATACACACACTGTCATTATGAAACATTATGCTAGAATGGACCTCGCAGCTGCATTCTAAGTGTATAGATAGATAGCTAGGTACCTAGATAGAAAAATAGATGGAAAGGTCAAGGTGTGGTTGTTATCGGACAGAGTTTAGTGGTGCTCGTCAGGTTCTGGGAGTCTTGGGCAAAATTGTACAGAGACGTTTGGAGGTTAGGGATCGCGATCTCAGAATCATCAGGTCTTTTCATGGAATGTCGTCATCCAGGGGCATATACCGACAAGGACTTCGACCGCCTGCGAGTTTGGGTTTTGTTCGCATACGTCATAGTTTTGCTGCAACAAGGAAGACACAAAATGCTGTGCTGCGGTCGCAGAAACAGCGGCCTGGACAGTATTCGCATTGCATTTGAACCCCTGAATCTGTGGGGCCGTGGGGCGCCTTTTTCCTTCGCGTTCAGCCTGCATCCCAAAGAGAGAAAACATCGACATCAGGACTATGATGCAGAAAGCAGGTTTCAAGTTGTGGTTACGCCGACCCAACATGGTAGTCAAAGGCACCCATCAAGGACAAACTTTGCGTCAGTTTTTGGTAAATACTTCTACCCAGCATCTTCCGGTTCCCAGCTTGAGGCTAGAGGGTCTCTCTGTGTCTTGTGTAGAGTCTTTCGTGCTTGTCGTCTAGTGGCTGGAGCTTCTTTAAGTTGTTGTGGGACTCTCAGACCGGCCGGTGCCATGAACCCACCTGTTCCGCAACTTGTGCAGCTTCGTGTTCCTCCCCTGGGCTTGCACAGACGGCCTCCACTCACTGCGGGAAAGTATGCCCTCGGGAGAGACACCAGAAGGATCGCTTTCTTGTGGTTAAGTGGACTGAACGTAGCGGGTGCAGTCCTAGCACTGCGGAGCCACTCGCGGCCAGATCAGACACCGTTCTCTCAGAGGAACCGAATGCTGCAAAGGCCTCGGGAGCAATATGCATCTCGCACCGGTCGATATGGCAAGAAGAAGAGGCCAAACTTTCTCTTGACGCCTGCAGACCCACGGGTTCATCTGACACCAGGGCGGACGCAAGAAGCCTCAAGTGTTCGACATGAAATCAAAAATGCCAGGCGCCCACAGCAGCTGCGTAATATTCTGGAGCGAAGCCAAACACAGGGTAAACTTGATGCCAGTGTGCTCGGTGCAGCAATGCAAAGATGTGGGCATGGATTGTGGTGGTCTGAGCTCGTTGATGTTTATGCGATGCACCAACAGTCGGGAATTGCCTTGCATTGCATCGAAAACAACATTTTGCTGCATGCATTGGCATCTTGTCTCAAATGCAACAAGACCTCTTCGGCAATTATGGAGCGCAGGAAGCAGGAGGCTTTGGAAATAGCCAAGCGTGCATGGGGCCGGCCTCCCCCGACAGCAGTGGCAGAATTCAATTGTGGCTTGAGCAGTGCGCTGCGCCTGTGTTCTCGCATAGGCAGCGATTCGGCGTATGCATGGGCAGACGATATTTGGAAACAGTCCCAACTGCAGTCCTTTCCAAAAACGATAGTGACATATGCTGCGAGAATGTATCTTTGTGAGCAGCGTTGTGAATATCAGGCCGTATCTTACCTGCTGATGCAGACTGTTCGTCAAAGACAGTCTCCGGATGAGGTGGTTCTTGGAGGATTGCTCCAGCAAGCAGCAGCCCACTTCAATTGGAAACGTGCCGATGATCTTTGGCAGCTGTTTCTGACGCAGCATCAAGTAAAGCCGAACTTCTTGACATACACCGCATACGCCAAAGCTCACCTTCTTGCAGGACGTCCCCATATGAGTGTTCGGATAATTGAGGCCATGCTGTCAACTGGCATTTGCAACATGGATTACAAGCTTGCGATAGATTTTGCTCAAGCCCTCCTTCTTGTGTGCCACTCGTCCCTGGCTCCGCGCGACATGCAAAGGCTAACGACTTTCCTGCGTGAAGGTGCCAAAATTCTTGCTAAGGAGTCAGCGCCGTCGGGCAAGGATTGCTGGCAGGAGTTGACATCCCGAGCGGAAAATCTGATGACTGACCATAGTTCTGTCGCTTTTGCGGACCTTCTCATCACCATGAATGCTCGGGAACTCAGTGTGATGAAGTCTTGGCCCAACTACCCGCCAGGCAGCGGCTACTTGAAAACACATTTGGCGCCAAAACAGTCTTGCGCAGTAACCTTGAGGGGTTTACCACCGTCAGACGTCTGATGTAGTAAGCCAGAGGCTTTTTGCCTGTTTGAAGCCTTGCGGGGGGGGGTAGACATGGAGATCAGATTTGTGAAGATCAGACTCGAGATCAGCTTGCATGCATGTTCCCGTTGAAGATATTTTCAGCCAGGTTGCAGCGCGGACGGGCGTGTGCTCATTCATGAGGCAGACAGGGCTGTTCACTCTATAGTCGCCGCGATTTTTTCCTGGAGGTCATGGATAGCCGGAGCGTTGCTAGAATTTTAGGATCAGTTTTTGCTTTAATTACTCACACCAAGAGCGAACCTTTTGATCGCATATCTCGCATCGCTTTCAATTTAAGTCCCATACCCCTGTAATAGGCATCGATCCACCCTTTACGATACAGCGTAAGACTGCCAGTTGCGGCCATTGATGATCTCAGCACCTTTCTAAATCTCGTCTCCTCTCTGTCTTTGACACCCCAAGCCCTAAACCTCTAATAGATCCCTTATCGATGCCTTTAAAGGAACCCTGTAGATCCCTTAAAGGAAACCCCCAGCCCTAAACCCAAAGCTGTTCTGCCTTGGGGGGTGGCAGGGAAGCCCGAACCCGTTCCGGTTGAGCTCGGGATCCTGTGATCAGGGCAAAGGGCCTATGGCCTACCTTCGACTACCAAAAACTTACTTGTTTGTGGGGCCCTCGTAAAGTCATATTAGTGTTGATAATCAGCGCCTGCAAAAAGGTAGGTTTTGCTAGATGCAGGTAAGGATGATCTTAGAGCCCTTCTAACTAAATACCCTGATCCTCGAAGAAGCCTTAATTAACCAACTTTTGAAGCTTCACGGCAGCTGACGTCGCGGCTTAACATGAGCTGAAGACTCCAGATCGCCATTGCCTCTGACCAGTTAAATCTTGTCAGCAAGCATTGGTACTACGGCTGATGGACAAAATCCTGCATTACCCATATAGAGGAATATACCACCACTCCCATAGTCTAGGGTTACAAATGAAATGCAGGATTGATATCATCAACCGTATGATAAGGCTCCGAGATGTAAGTGGTGGACCAGTATACTGCAAGGATCCCATTCTTCAGGGAGGGCTCTTATGTTGTAAAGATACGAATACTTCGTGTGTCTGAGCCCTATAACGTGCGAACCCCTCAACGCTAAACGTCTGTACTAGGGGCACTGGGCTTCTCAAATGAGGCTGGAAAAGATTCGTACTGTGGTCGGAATCCTTGTAACAGTCTTCCTTGGGTTCCCGGACGTAGTATCAAACCCCCAAACCCTCTAGTTTATGGCACTTTGTTGACATGTTGAAACCTTGCCGCCGCCTGAGCCCTGCGTCTACGCGTATACCCTAGCCCTAAACCCTGAACCCTGTAAGCAGTACCAAGACCCTCCTTGCACCCTCAAATAGGGCTATATGGTCCCAAATGATGGCTAAGCCTGCACGCACTTAGGGTGTAGTTTAAATCGAATATCCCAATTGCGGTACCCTGCGAACTCGCAACCTTAAAACCCCAAACCCCCTAAACCCCAAAACCCTAAACCCTAAAACCCCAAAGCCCTAAACCCTAAACCCCTGAACTCTCAACCCCAAAACCCTTACTATAGATCCCTTAAAGGAACCCCTGTAGATCCCTTTAAAGAAGCCCTTAAAACACCCCTAAACCCCCTAAAGCCTCCTGAAAGCAGGTGCCAGAAGACCTCGCGCCACTGCCTGGCCTTGGGGCTCCGAGGTTGCTCATTGGCGGCAAGAATGCGGGGGGTTCAGATTTTAGGGGTTCAGGGCTCTGATTTTAGGGTTTAGGGGTTTAGGGGTTCAGGGTTTAGGGTTCAGATTTTAGGGTTTAGGGTTTAGATTTTAGGGTTTAGGGTTTAGAATGGCGGCAAGAACGCGGGGGAGGGGGGGGGGGTACTACTTAGAGGATCACGGGACTTTGAAAGGGTTCCCTTAATAAGGGCTCCTTAAGGGGATATATAGGGTTCAGGGCTAGGGTTTACTTAGAGGATCATGGGACTTAGCCACTATGGTTTTAGGTAAAGTAAGTATAGTCATATTTACTTGGAGCTCCAGTGAAG